TAGTAAAACTATGACTATTAAGATTTATCACGTAGAACTACAGGCAAAAAAATTCTTCTTCAAAATTTTCTTGCAGCAATTGTTATTTTTGCTGACTTTTTTTGTAAAAATTGGACGGTAGATCAACAAAATATGTATTTTGAATGCAAAGCTGTAGTGAAATTGCACTCTTTACATTAATAGGCTTTGCTGGTTTCAGTTTCATTGAGATTTAAAATCCTAAGATTTCAGCTGAATAAAGTTTCAGCAATTCCTTGGTGGTTAGTTCCACCCAATTTTTTTTTATTTCATGCACATCAACACCATTGGAAAAATGCTATTGTTCTTAAATAGCTAATCCTAATAAAAGATTATTTTACTCAATGTCAGATTGAACTTTTCCATTTTATTCCACAGGAACGTGCCTTGAAGCAGGTCTCAGTGAAAGGTGATGAATACGTCAAATAGATTGGGATCAAAATAGTTCTGACTTGCCACTTACAATTCAAGTAAAAGCCCAATAAATAACTGAACTTTTCAGACTGAGTCAGATTATAAAGTAACAGGAAAGTCAACACATTGTTACTAATGTGTAAAATACTTATTCTATTTAAAGCAACATAGTCAATAAATGTGCAGAAATAACCAAGTACAATAACAGAAAACCTGATTTAAAATAAAAACATTTCTGGGAGTGAGGCATTTCATGATGTACCCCAATTCTCAGATTTTTTTTCCCTCAGGATTCAAAGTGAATAGAATTTGCACCTCAAAATGCTAAAATTGCAAACTGATAATGCCACTGCAAAGTCAAAGGAGCACCTGAGACCTGGGGAACACTGGGATAAGCAGTTTTGTCCTTAATCAATTAATTAAATATTAAAAGCACAGAGGAACATTGGAGAAGGAAATTGGGTGGCCAGATTCAAATCAGATACAGAAAGGAAAACACCAATGAAGTCACAAGAATCCACGTTTTAATTACTCTTTTTTTGGGTGTTTGAAGTTGAGTGACATTGCAGAAACATAAGTCTTGTCTCTCAAAGGATCTTTATATGATGAGTAACAGCTCTGAATTTCTACAGCAAGTTTATTTTGTTTTAATACTGCAAATACAGCAACCTCTTTAACCCCAGGGAAGCTGAAAATGAACTCCCTTTTTTAAGAGTCTATGGAGTGACAAATCACCCAGCAATTTGTGGTCATTTGAAACCCACAAAGCATCTCTCCGTCATCACAAATTACTGGGTTAATCACACACTAATAACAGTGTGCACATTTAACTATAGCTGTCCTCAGATCTTTGGTATATTTTTCTCTTCCTCTATTTGATACAAAAAACAATCACAAGCCGACTTCTTAATTTGCAATTACAATGTCTCCTCCACCTGTTTGTTTTTAAGAGGCTCATGTTACCCTTAACCACTTCCTGCACCTTAAACATTCACAGCTCTCTTTTCCTTGCATCCCATTGCTAATGTTTATATTTCTCCCCTATCTGTGGGATTTTATGTTGTATATTTGCTGTTGACCAAGTTTGCTTCATTTTACAAGTCAGCCTTACCCAAATTAAAATATTAGTTTCTGACTCATTGTCTCAAACCAAACATGCTCTATATGTTATGGTTACTAATAGCTAAATGCTTCCCTACCATTAGAACTTGATTATTTCATTTCTAATACTAATATTGCTTGTTCTCAGAATATTGCACCCAAAAAATGTCAAATACACTCAAGAAACATGTAACCATTCAGACTCCAGCTGCTCAGCTTCTCCCAATCCATGAGAAAATCAAAGCCTTTATAACTATACACAACAATTTTCTCCCATTGGCTTTATTGAGAAGTCTGCTAACAACTCCCAATATTCACCCTTTTTCAATTCCTCAGTTCTACCCAAAGAATTTCTCTAAATTTGGATATACTCTCTTTTGAATGCTGTAATATGCTTCATCAACATTACTACTTCTCCGTTGTCAATTTTACTGTCCTTTCTAAATTCTATAATCTGGAATACTTATCAATCAGCCATACTAAGTTTGTAGCCAGAAACAGCTATTGCATTTGGATTTCCAGTTCTAATTTGTTTATTTTATTCCTTATGCTATGCACATTTGTGTGTAGAATGCTTGATTGCATAACAGAAACTTTGGACCTGATACAGTTTTTGTACGCTTTCAAACCTACGTCATCCTTGTTTTTCCATAATTCCTGTAGTATTTTGATATTTTCATTTTTTCAGATGGCGAAGTATTTACATTATATTTAATACTATTTATGATCTGCCATTGAATTTTTTGCCTTCTTATGAAAGTGAGTCCAAAGGTGGAGGAAGGTGAAAATTTACACCACTGGTCATGTGCCAGTTTGTGGGCATCATCCTGTCACCAGGCCATCTCCCTGGAGGTCTGCTGGCAGATTGAAAGGCTAACCTCATGCCAGTGACATGTAGCCAATTAAAGAGAATTAAAAGCCCATCAAGGACCTAACATCAGAGGTTGATAAATTTTCCAGTTGGTCTCTGTACATCCTCTAAGGTATCAGGGACTAAGCTACTTGCCTAGAAGCAGTGTCCTAGCAGCAGGCCAGGAGTATGGTAGGGGTGGTTGAAGTCAACGCCCATGCAAACCTCGAGACCTTGTCTGGTCCTCCAAACTGAGATGGTCTGGCAACTTAAGTATTTTGCTTAATCTAAATATTTTAAAAATTTGGTGGCATATCTTTTAAGATGGAGGAACCATTCTCGTTAGGCGCATTCTCTATCTCTTTTTTGGTTTGAAGTTGCTGTTTTTTTCTAGTTGGAGGGACTCCTAATGGCCCACCATTTGAAAGTACACCTCCAATCCTTAATTAGTCAGTGAACTTGTCCACTGGCCACTAATCTGCAAATTTGAGGAAAATCCTTGCCAGCTGACTGTCTCTCAAATTCTGTGAGATCGTGACCTCGAATTGAGTCTGACTTCAGGATCATAATCCAAACCCATAACTCAAAATTTTGCTACTGGATGCTTCTCTCATCACTTTTTAACCCCGAGTATATTTTCTGTTTTACTATTATCTCTGTCCAAGTCCTTCCCACTCCCCCCCTTTATTGGTTTATTACATGATATCTTGCAAAAAAAATTCAAGATGTTTCCTTATTAAGGCAGACTCCATTGTGATTTTAAATGAGGGCAGCTTGGAGAACCTACAACAATGTCATAAATGTAGTTCAGCTTAATTACTTTTCATGTTAAAATCAATGCACGTTAGTGTATAGGTTGCTTTAAATAAAAACACCTATCCCTTCTTTTACTGTGATTAAGCTCTGGACTTTTAAACTAATTCAAATCCCAACACTATCTCTCATTTACACTTAATTAGCTCCATTGTTTCATCAGTTCTAAACCAGGCTGTTAGAAGTCAAAGATCAAAGTGATACAGAAAGATATATTTTTATATAACATTTGGATCTACTTTCCTCAAGGTGAAATGGGAATGTGAAGTGGGAAATGATCCAATTAGCTATAGCATCGATTGGTTGAATAGAGGTTTACAAGCCTTACGGTGATTTCACATTCTTGGATTTGTTATGATCAGAAATAAGAGTCATGACAAGTTGTCTCTCTACTCACAATGTAAAATCGCAGTTTCAGCCGCACACATGGAACTCTGAGAGGTTATTTACTGAGATTGAAAAGACAGCAACTATAATTTGCTCCCCTGCCTATCGTCTCAGGTAAAGAATTGTACCTAAGAAGTGACAGGAGTGTCACAAAATAAAACATAAAGGGATTTATTGAATCAGTAAAAAGAAAAACAATAAAAAGTGAACCACATTACAGTTGTTAATCCATCAAAAAACATTTTGCAGAAATGCATCTCATTTTAGATTGTTTACAGTTGTATTTATATACAGAGATGCCTTGTTACTTCAATAAATTAAGTCTAGAAAAAGCATAGCTCATTCTGGCTTGAATTGTGACTCCTAAAATTCCACAAAATTGATAGCAGTCAGTAAAAGTCAACAATGTGTTTGATAATTGACCCAAAACAGTAAGAAAAATTTGTAATTTCTTTTAAAAAAGATGTGTGGGATCTTGAACTATTTTGAAGATATTTCAAAACAAGGACTTTTAAGAGTTGACATCAATTGTAAAGGGATCAATTATAATTTTCTTGAATAAGAAGAGATAAGATCCATGTGACCTGGTGACCCTTGACCAGAAAGGAAGTTAACATACAAAGGCCATGTGGCCAAATGCAAAGGAGAGCTGCAGATAAAGCGAGAATAGAACAAGGAACTGTGAGTAATACTTTCAACAGTTCTGAAAGCTGTCAATCCAGGGTTGGGACAGGAATTATGAATTTGACTGAGTTTTGCTAGAGTCAACCGGGCCATTTTATTGGGTTTATTAAAACTATCTAAGAAACCTGTGCCATCAAGACTGGACTTGAACCGAGCTAAGGAGGTTTTGTAGGTGTATGTCTTTCAAATGATGTTGAAATCTGGGCACCTTGGCTGAAGTACAACTGCTGCTGCATGTAATTTGAAGGTTAAATTGGTTCAGTAGGGAAATAAATCTTTTACACTAGAGGCTGAGTTAGAGAACTTTGGAACTGCACATGGTGAAACTTATCTGTGGGAATGATGCAGGTGCTCGACATTGCTTTGTTGTATTATCTACTTAAAGTGATATTTATGTTTCTATTTGAAGGTAATTTACCAGTTAATAATGTTTAATTTGCATTGGTTCTGTTTCTGGTAAAGTTACAAAACGTTTTAGGCAAAACTAGATTATTTTGGTTTAGTTTCTTCATGAGGATGTAAAAAAAAGGCATTCCATACCAATGATTTAAATCAATAGTGACAAATCTCTTAAATACTATCCTATGCCCTTTCAAGAAGAAAAAACAGCATGCTAATATTTTTGATGGCCCTGTTGGCGGACAGCATTCATAAGGTACATAAAATATTCAACAGTATGTACAAATTTAATTTGTATGAAGATTCCCTGCATTATTCTTCTCTGTTCACTTACCTGCTGCGATGCTTGTACCTGCTGTACCACCTGTGTCGGCACTCCAGACTGTGCACCAGCTGAAGAGGAGCTGGAATCTGAACCTGTCTCGGTTGGCCTCATGTTTGCTTCTAAACAAAAACAGTGACATTTCTTAATACATATTCATAACTTCTGTATTTATTTGAGAAAATTTTCTGTTTTTGAAAATCTGAAGTAACAAATTATCTAAGGATAAAAACAGAAATTGTTGCAGAACTCAGCAGGTCTGACTGCATCAGTGGACAGAAAACACAGTTAATGTTTTGAGTCCATTTTGGACCCAAGTTTCTAAGGCAATTTCTGTTTTTGTTTATTTCAGAGGTCTGTAATCCAAAGTTGTTTGTTTAAAATTAAGTAAGGAATTTGTGAAGTAGCAGGGACATCTTCAATCCAACACTGTCAATTTCACCCATTTAATTCATAATTCATTGTTCCAATGATATCTCATGTGGAACCTTGGCCATGTTTTTTGCCCTACTTGGAGTCATAGAGATGTACAGCATGAAAACAGACCTTTGGTCCAACTCGTCCATGCCGACCAGATATTCTAAATTTACCTCGTCCCATTTGCCAGCATTTGGCACATATCCCTCTAAACCCTTCCTATTTATATACCCATCCAGATGCCTTTTCAATGTTGTAATTGTACCAGCATCGACCACTTCCTCTGGCAGCGTATTCCATACACTCACCACCCTCTGCATGAAAAAGTTGCCCCTTAGGTCCCTTTTAAATCTTTCCCCTCTCACCTTAAAACTATGCCCTCTAATTTTGGACACCCACCCCAGGGAAAAGACCTTGTCTATTTACCTTATCCATGCTCCTCATGATTTTACAAACCTCTATAAGGTCATCCCTCAGCCTCCAACGCTCCAGGGAAAATAGCCCTAGCTTATTCAGCCTCTCCCTAGAGCTCAAACCTCCAACCCTGGAAACATGCTTATAAGTCTTTTCTGAACCCTTTCAAGTTTCACAACATCCTTCCTGTGGCAGGGAGACCAGGATGCACGCAGTATTCCAATAGTGGCCTAACCAGCGTCCTGTACAGCCGCAACATGATCTCCCAACTCCTATATTCAATGCACTGACCAATAAGGGAAAGCATACCAAATGCTTTCTTCACTATCCTATCCATCTGCAACTCCAATTTCAAGGAACTATGAACCTGCACTCCAAGATCTCTTTGTTCAGCAACACTCCCCAAGACCCTACCACTACATGTATAAGTCCTGCCCTGATTTGCTTCTCACAAGCTAGGGTATCATTTACTAACATGAAAACATAAGCAGCTGGAGCAGAAAAGATCTTATAGCTTATCAAGCCTGCTTTACCATTCAGTATGGCCATGCTGATCGTCAACTTCAAATCCACTTTCTGCTTGCATTGCATATTTCTTGATTCACTGAGAGGCCAAAAATCTGTCTATCTCAGTCTTTCCTATATTCCATGATGGAGCATTCACAACTCTGAGGTACAGAATTCCAAATAAATTAATTTACCAAAACTGGAGAACAATATCTTTTGTTATTAGACTAGTAAACAGAGACCTGGACTAATGCTTCAGAGATATGAATTCGAATTCCACCACAGCGCAACAATTGGGAAATTTAAAATCAAGTAATTAAGAAATCTGGAATAAAAGTCCTTGTCTCATTAATAATCATGAAACTATTGGATTGCTATAAACACTCATCTGATTCATTAATGTAATTCACAGGAGGAAACCTGTCATCCTTATGCAGTCCAGTCTGTAACCTACAGCAATGTTGTTTACTCTTAAATGACCAAACTACTCAGCCTGAGCTTGCTTGGCCATTCAATATAATCACGAATGATTTTCTACTTCAATTCCACCTTCTTTCTGCAATAAAACTGGAGCAATATTGCAAATTGCAGTTCCATACCATTCCCTATTCAAGGCACTGGAAAGCCCCAGCCAATTATTCTTGACAAGTCCTGATATAAAATCTCTGATCCATTACATGGTGGGCCATTCAAAGCACTTTCCTAAAAGCTACGGCTACCCGATTTCCTAATAGTGAGGAAATGGGCCACGAAGTATTTGGTCCATGGGTCCTGAGGCTTGCTTAGGGACAGAATTGAATGATCTCACCAGAAGTCTATGCTGAAAAATAAATCAGCTGATCTGCAAAGTCGAACATTGAATCAGCCATTACGTCTGCTATTATGATCCCAGCTGATGGCACAAATGGACAAGTCAGATCACAGAATGAAATTTGGCTTGATATATCATATGTTTAATTTTTGTAGGTGGTTATTGTGGTGTTTAGTCATGCAAATATTCACACAAGGCTGCAGATGTTCTTTAACAAGCGTTTATTAGACAAAGGAAAGAAACAAAGTTATATATATGTAAAAGACCTTGACGTAAGTAGCAAAAAAAAATTTCCAATCTGTTGCACAACACTAGTCTCAAATTTTATTAACCTAAATGTCATGTATTAATACGACAAAAAAAAAGGTACTGTAGTCCAAATTCACTACTGGTGTTATTTCATATTTGAACAGATCATAAAAAGCTGTTATCTTAAAGTAAATAATCTCCATTATGTCTGAAAATATTATTTTCAGTTATTTGGTATGATTAAAATTAATCTAATTCAGTTTAAATCATATTACATTTATTTATGTTCAAAATTCTACAGATTCTGGAATGATTTCTGCAAATTTGAAGTAAGCAAATCTCACCCCAATTTTTAAGAAGGGAGTGAAGCATCTTCAGAATCTTTACCAATAACATTCCCTCCATAAAAAGGTCAGAAGTGGGGATGTTTTCTGATGATTTGCGCAATGTTCAGTAGCATTCATGAATCTTCAAAGACTGAAGAAGTTCACATTCAAATATCCAAGTTTGGGCTGATAAGTAGTAAGTAACATTCATGTCACCAAAGTTTCAGGCAATGATCATCTCTAATAAGAGAAAATCTAACCATTGCCCCTTGACTTTCAGTTGCATTCCCGTTGTTGAATCTCCTGCTAACAACATCCAGGAGATTACCATTGATCAGAAATTGAACTAGCCGTATAAATACTGTGGCTAGAGGAACAGGTCAGAGGCTAGGAATCCTACAGCAAGTGACTCGTCTCCTGACTCCCCAAATCCTGTTCACCAATTTTGAGGCACAAGTCAGGACTGTGATGGAATAGTTCCCACTTGCTTGGATGAGCGCAGCCCCAACAAGACTCAAGAAGCTTGGCACCATCCAGGATACAGCAGCCTATTTGATTGACAAACATTCACTGCATCCACCACCAACACACAGTAGCAACAGTGTGTTCTATTTGCAAGATGTACTGCAAAAATTCACCAAGGGACCTTAGAGAGAACCTTCCAACTCCATGACTTCTATCGTCAAGAAGAACAAGGGCAACAAATACATGGAAACAGTACCATTTGCAATTTCCCCACCAGGCTCTGCTCCCAGTCCTGACTTGGAAATATATCAATATTCCTTCTGTCTCACTGGGTCAAAATCTTGGAATTCCGTCCCTAACGGTAGAGTGGGTAAATGGATGGCAGCAGTTCAAAAAGGCAGCTCATTACCATCATCACAAGGGCAATTAGGGATGGGAAATAAATGCTGGCCAAGCCAGTGATGCCCACATCCCATGAATAGATTAAGAGATATACATGTTCAAAGATTAACCAGCATGGTAACCAAATTGCAAAATAAAACTCATGATCTATCAAGCTAGGTTTCTCTCTGGGTTCTGAATTGTCCAGTATTACCATCAGCTGGGATCATAAGAATACAAATCATAATGTACACTGCTGAACCTATTCTGTGTATTCAGCACAATGAATTGAACGATTATTAGAAGTGCTCTCACCTCAGAGTCAGAAGTAAATAATGTAGGCTTGACAGTCCAGTAAAGTGCAATGGGAGTGAGATGTCAAATAAACACAATTTCTTCTTCTTTTACTGCATTAGAACCAATCAATTATGTCTATAATTTTATCACATTATTTCAAGAATACTGGATCAATTTCTGATGCTGATGCATTATGAGTAACTGGAAATGGAGGCAGTAGCATTGCAGTTGCTAGAATTAATCGTTCTTTTCACATTCTTAGAATATCCTTAAACATTTCACAGCTCTTGAAGTACTAATTGAAGTGTAGCTACTGTTAGAACTTGGGAAAACCTGGCAACAAATTTGCACATAACAAGGTCCACAAAGGCAATGATAGCTTTAGTGTTTACAATAAGTAAGGAACGAACAGGACTCAATGTGATGGCTACATTGTCAAATAACTTACCAAAATTTGTGGCTCACCATCACTTTCTCAAGGATAATTAGGTATAAGCAAAAATGCTGACAGAGTCAGCAACACCCAAATGTCACAAATGAAAAACTGAAAAAAAAAGTTAAAAATGACGATTTGGGCGGGATATGAAAGGACAAGTGGCTCCAGGAAGTCACTCACCAGTTAACAGACAGGATTTTTAGATACAAAGAAGGAGGTAGAAACAGGAAGGAAATTTAATAAGTAGAACTAGTTAATCACTGATATTATTACAAACACTTATTACACATAACCATTGTTGCAATTTATAAATATATGTTTAAAATATAACAATAATGGAGAAATTACATTGAAAAAGATTTAAATAAAAAAAACTTCCTGTCCAATGAATATTTCAAAGCACAATATATGTGACCATGTAGACTATTCAAGAGGGTCAGTTTAGCTCAGTTGGCTGGATGGTTGATTTGCAAAGCAGTGTGATACCAACAGCATGGGTTCAATTCTCATGCCAGTTGACGTTACCATGAAGGACTCTCCTTCTCAACCTCCCCCCTTGCCAGAGGTATGGTGGCCCTCAGGTTAAATCACCACCAGTTGTGTGTGTGTGTCTCCCTTTAATGAAAGAGCAAGCCCTATGGGCTGGTAAGGCTATGACTTTGCTAAAATAACAATGTTGGAAAGATGGGTTTTAATACCACTTTATTGTTCTGCAAACTCTTGTGTGTAGATCAAGTAGGTAAATGATTTTTCAGTGAAAGTGAGCAATTACAAAATTATTTTAATCTGTAGATCTTTGGTAACATAAAGACATCCGAG